GCCAGTATTTTCTAGCTGATCCTCAAAATTTGCCAGTATTTTCTAGCTGATCCTCAAAATTTGCCAGTATTTTCTAGCTGATCCTCAAAATTTGCCAGTATTTTCTAGCCCATCCCCAATAATTCCGGCTTATCAAAAATATTCCCCAGTATTTTCTAGCTCATCTCTAATGTTATCTAGCTCATCTCTAATATTTTTAGGTCATTCCCAATACCCTCTAGCTCGCCCAAAGTATTTTCTAGCTCATCCCCAGTGTGTTCTAGCTCCATCCTCAGTATGCCTCAGCATTTTCTAAATCATTTTCAGTATTTTCTAGCTGATCCCTAAAATTTTCTGGATTATCACAAATGTTCCCCTGTATTTTCTAGCTCTGCCCTAATATTTTCTATCTTATCCATTACATTTTCTAGCTTAAACCCCAGGACTTTCTAGCTCATCCCCAGTATGCCTCATTATTTTCTAAATCATTCTCGGTAATCTCTAGCTGATCCCCAATATTTGCCAGTCTTTTCTAGCCCATCACCCAACATTATCTGGCTTTTCCCAAATATTCCCCAGCATTTTCTAGCTCATCACTAATATTTTCTAGCTCATCACTAATATTTTCTAGCGTATCCCTTATATTTTCTTGCTTATCCCCAGTATTTCCTAGCTAATCCCCAATATTTTATAGCTCATCCCCAATTCTTTCTATCTCGTCCCCAGTAGTTTCTGGTTCATCACAAGTATTTTCTAGCTCCATTCCACATTTTTTCCTGCTGATCCTAAATATTTCCTAGCTTATACCCATTATATTTTAGCTCATCCCCAGTATTTCCTAGCCCATCCCTAAACTTTGCCAGTATTTCCTAGGTGATCCCTAAACTTTGCCAGTATTTCCTAGCCCATCCCTAAACTTTGCCAGTATTTCCTAGGTGATCCCTAAACTTTGCCAGTATTTTCTTGCCCATTCCCAATATTTTCTTGCTTATCCCAAATATTCCATATTTTTTCTAGCTAATATCCAATATTTTCTAGCTTAACCCTAATACTTTCTAGCTCATCCCCACTATTTTGTAGCTCATCCCAAGCATTTCTAGATCAATCTCTAAAATTTTCCAGTTCATTCCCAACACTTTCTAGCTCATCCCTAATATTTTTTATCACATCCCCAATATTTTTTTAACTTATCCCCAATATTCCCCAGACTTTTCTATCTCATCTCCAATGTTATTTATCTTATCCACAATATTTTTTAGCTCCTCCCCAGTATTTTCTAGCTCATTCCTAGTATTTTTCATCTCACCCACAATATTTGTTAGTTCCTCCCCAGCATGTTCTAGCTTGTCCATCATATTATTCAGCTCATTGCTGTTATTGTTCATTTTATCCGTAATATTTTCTAGCTCCATCTCCAGTATTTTTTAGCTCACCCCCAATGCTCATACTGTGCCGCGTCAACATAGGGGGAACTGCTGCTTTTTCTTTCCTCATCTTTACTATCGTCATTTTCCTCTACTTCTTTTGTATGTTTGTCACACTCTTGTGACCCTCTATTTCCGGGGTGCCTTGATAGTCGAAGCAGACTTTGTGCTGTTGAAGCTAGAGAGGTGAGCAGAGTAAGTCTGATTCCCTGTAAGGACTTC